TGTTAAGGATTTTCTCTTTATTTCTCAAGAAATCATTTTTAATTCAGGAGATTTCTTTATAAACATTCTTGGCAACTTTTCTGCTTTCAATTTAGAAACCTGCAGGGGAGAAAAGCCCCTCAGGGGCATTTAGAGACTTATTATTTAAAATAATTCAAAATAGCACAGCACAGTTCTGGAATTGTAGTCTCTACAGACCTTTAACAGAAACTGCCTCAAGGATTTACAGGGAGGCAAAACATGACAGGAAGTAGAATTTCCAATCAGCATTGCATAATAAGGTCACATAACCTAAAAACAGGGATTACACCTTGTAAATTTCCACAATCTAATGCCTGGCACATGCCCAGTACAGGACAACTGCATCATATATATAAAACTGTAAAGGACTGCTTATGAGGAATCCCAGAAAATATGGCAAAACAGGGTCCAAACCAAAAGAGGAGGATCTAGATTCACCTTATTATTACGTTTCCAGGTGCTATGGAGCCCAAGACACTGACCTAAACTCTTAGAAAATGATTTGGATCTTAGGATTTTTAATGTGAATAACAGATCATTTAGGGGCGTTGTCAAAAATACAGTCCCCTTCAGTGAAATCTTGAGGGCACATGGCATTTTTCACTTGGTACAAGCTCCCAGACATGCCAATGCTGCTGGTCTGGCAGTAGCTCAGCTAGACAACTTAATTCACTAATTTTCAAAACATCTCTGGTCACAGACTTCCTCAAGTATTACCATTTCAACACTTACTTCTTTCATTAAAAATGATCCTATATAGCATAATGGGCTCCATTTGTTTTCAGAGTTCAGATTTTACATAAAATACAAGTAGTCTTATATCCATTTGCCATGGGTATAAGAATTTTAATAAAAAAAAAAAAGTCTCAGGTTTAGGATGAAAGACAAAGAATAACAAGAGTTTGCAGCTATTTCAATCGGTGTCCAACTTGCTTATCAGCAAGAGAGAGAACTTTCTTACTGTGAAACTTAACAAATACCCAAAAGCCTGTGGGATTCTTCAGTCATCTTAGAAAAATCTTGTTCCTTTTTGACTTACAGCTCAGAATATGTGGCTCGGTCAACTCTGGTAGAAATTCTGAAGGTTTTTGCTTTTGTTTTTCCCTCCTAATGTTCTACCAAGAACCAGGGAAGGAGATAAAATAAATGCTCCCAAACCTGTTTACATTACCAAGTTTATGCTCATTCTCCTTATCAAGACAACTGTCTCAACATGAGTTGCTCCAAGAAAGAGATATTGGTCAATTCTGACTTTGACTACTTTGAATCAACTTTGACTATTCCAAATTCTGCTGATACAATGGAGTTAGCCACTTTGGACACACTACAACATATGTAACACAAAGTTAAGTCAGACTGATTTTGGCTTAAACGTTCCTAACATGCTGACACAGTAGGGTTATGCTGTTCATGAACAGATAATGTCTTTTTTAAAATTACATGCTTATTTCTCAGTCTTCATTTGCAAACAACAAAATTTTGTTAAATCTTTAGGTCTTTAGTTATAAAACAACATGATAAAAATGTTATTTTAGAGACTGATGAGATGGCTCAGTGGACAAAGACACTTATCACCAAGGTTGATGACTTGAGTTCAATCCCCAGACCTACATGGTAGAAAGAACTAACCTCCACATGCACTTGATGCAAGCACACATAAAGTTAATAAGTAAATGTAAAAAAATAAATTTTTTTCTTAGAATTTAAGTTGGTAAGTATAACATATTTAGCATTACATATAAATATCTTAGGTATATGACATATATAGGTTTGTATATAAATACCTATAAAGATATATATTGTCTACAAAATAAAATCATATTTTCTAAGGCTTTAATGTTTGTGAGACTGTATTTACAGTTTGAGGCAAAAGCAAAAAACAAAATTAATAGCAATAATACAACACAGAATTAAAAAAATTGGGGGGGGGGTTTATCTGCTATAACACCAATGCCTATATAACACCAGTACATAAGATACAGCAGGTATGCAATAAAACTCGCTGAGTTACAAATGAAAAGTATTTCTAAACACAAACTATGTACCTAACACTATTATAATAATGGTATTATGATAATATGGAATTATCAAGTGGCACACACCTTTAGTCCCAGCACTCAAGAGGCAGAGGCAGACATCTCTGTGAGTTCATGGACAGCCTGGTCTACAACGTGAGTTCCACAGAGAAACCATCTTGGGAGGGAGGCGGGTATTGGTATAATCTTCATTTACAGAAGAGCAGTAAGGCACATAATGGTTAAATTACTTGTCCAGAATCACATTGGTAGTATTAGTGTAATAATGATACTCATATAAAACCTGAACATTAAGACAAAAACTTCAACATCTCACAATTATGCCAAATAAATAAGCAAACAAAATGCTTGAAATCTGTCTGACTTAACATTAAATTTTCAAAGGATCTCAAAGTACATGTAAACTGATCTGGAGAGTTGGACCCAGGTTTGATTCCCAGCACTGATGTGGTGGCTCACAACTGTAACTCTAGTCTCAGGGGAGACCTGATGTCCTCTTCTGACCTCCATGAACACCGAGCACACACATGGTGCACATACATACATTCTGGCAAAACATTCATACACATAAAATAATAAAATAAATAAAACTTTAAAAAGTTAAAAATAATTACATGTAACAAGTATATTCTAAGTATTATTTGTTGAATTCAAGTCACTATATCTATTAAAATGTACATGTTTAGCTGGCTTAATACCTCATGAATTTAAGAAGAAACATAGTCCTTATATTAAAGAGTTTTTACACATTATTGTTCTAAACAAACACTGTGGATTTTCAAATTTCATAATTTTTTAAAAAACAATTCTGCCTTTCAGTAAGTATTTCACTATGGGTCATGGATTTCTGTCCTAATACACAAATCTAAGGAAGTCAGAATAGTTTACCTGGTTGAGTAAGTACAGAATCTTTGTCAAGATATGCAAGCATCTTCTCGGATTGATGGGGGTTTCATTGAATATGCGTGCCTACAGAAATATGCAAAACAATATGCTATATATAGTGTATTTTCTACCACAGAGGACAGCAAAACATCTTTAATAACATGAACATCATGTTAGTACAATATCCAAATAACGTCAGTTGTCTATGCTCTCAAGTTATATGGTATACAGTAAGTAACTGGATGTGACCTGGACTTTCCTATCTATACTCTCTCATTCCCTTAGGTTGACTACTTCAACTTTAAAGAACCTCGACTACATATGAACATCAAGAGCTCAGTATCTGTCAAGTCTTCCAATAGCCTTGCACTCACCACTACTTCTTCTGGTATTTCATTACAATCCCCCAGGACACACCAGAGCCTGTATGTCTGTCTAGCTCTATAGTTCTAGACTGTCCTTTCCCCTATATCCTGTGCACTCGGTTACACTCTTTCATTACTTTTAATATATAATGAAAAATGAATTTTTCTCTGATCAAATATGGGGAAGAGTGATTTTTAGCCTGTCAGGTGGGTCTACGCCCATCATTCTCAAACAGAATCGACAAGGGACTGTACACATCCATGCCATACCTCCTGCAAGACAGCACTCTTCTCCAAATGCTGGAAAGGATTGGAACCACTACCTATAGCACAAGAAAAAGAGAAGGTCTTCAGTAGCTGTCCTACAAAGACTTTTCTAGAGAAGGATATTGCATGCTTGGGAAATCTCACCTAAACAGGATGATCCCTTGGAAGTCACAAGGACAACCATTACTAATATGCAAATACATTGGATGAAGTAATTTTTATTCTGGTACAGATTCTGTCATTGACATACTGGGAGAATTTGGACTTCTCTAAGATAGAAGAACCCTGTCCAAAATGAGGCCTTCCTTGCCTGCTTCCCCCTCCCCCACCCCATGGATGTTAACAAATGTGTCGTTTCCACCACCACCAAGAGAAATGAGATGACAGGACACTATGGATTTCCCTAAAAGCAAGCCCTATCTTATGTGTCTCACACATGTACTGAAGCAGAAAGGAACAGTTTCGCAGAGAATCACAAATGTAAAGAGGCCATGCAGGATGAGGCCATGAAGGTCCACTAACCCAACCTTCCACCACACTTGTGAGAGCAGCTACCACTGAAGAGCTGAAGATTTTTTTTTTTTTTTTTGAAGAGGCTTGGCATCTTCCCCAGTTTGCACTGCACCACAGACAGGTATCAACACGCAAGTCACTTCTGGATGCCTGCGCAATTCAATGAGCTGTGTCCCACCGGGCAGTCTTAACCCCTGGGAACAGGAGAATCAAGGCCCTTCAGAGTCCATAAACACGCAACCCTGGCCCGGTCGACCCCAGCCCCAAAAGACAAGGGGTGCTCGCCCTGGGGCCTAACCCCACCAGCAACCCCAGGCTACCGAGACATGCGCGCGCAACTCCTCGCCCCCCGACAGGGCCCCGCGGAGGGCCGGCTC